AAAGGTAGGTAGCAAGATATTAGAGGTAGTCCTCGATTAATGATTGCCTTGTTTAGCAGCTATTTGTAGTTATGGTGGTAATGGAAAAGTGACTTTGTGACCAATTCTCACATATATGACCTTCACAGGTCTGTAAACCAAAGGAAAGCTGAAGTAAGATTGTAAGCACAGCTGTGGTTTCCCAAAGCTCATCCATAGTCCATTTGCCATGTTTTTATATGGGATATCAAAGTGTGATTCAGGAAAGTCTGCCTGTTGGTCTGCCTCAGCAGTCCCACATTATGGCACAAAGCTCACTCACCACATCAGCTCCACCAACCCATGAGCGCTGAAAACTAGTGAGAGGTCACTTGCTGCTTCAGATCTTATCTCTCCATATGCTGAGCTGCCAACCATCATCTGGTTTCAACAATGGATCTAATCCATAATGTGATGGAAGAGGGCAGAGGTGACTTTTTGATAGATGACCTATCATCCTATTTCAGGCTCTTGGCTAACCTCAAGCCACCACCCAATGCCAATGTCACCACCCAATGCAGATATTCAGAAGGAAGGAGTATGTGTACCCCAGCTGAAAGCAGCTAACAGAAGCTAGGAGATCCCACTCCTACTGTGTCTCAGCTCAGTCACCACAAAGGGGCCATATTATTAGAAGGGTTCTTTCAGGAGAAAATGGTTTAGGAAAACCCATTGCCTCAGTACTGGCTATGATACGAAGGTTGCAAATGAATAGGTACTCATCAAAAACTATTAGCCTGGTACCTTTAAGCTAAAGTGTTCTGACTAAGGCTTCCTTAGACAGTAACAACCACATGCTTAGTCCCAAAACCCCTCTTTTTATTTCAACAGCTGTGAATTATATTCATTCACAGCCCGTAATGAGTCCCAAACAGTTTGTGAATAATCCAATAGAAATCTGCCACAGTCTTTTCGGGATAAGGCTGGTAAGCACTCACCTTTTTCTCCTTTGAAATGCTGCCAACGACTAAATTGCCAATTTGCTGTACAAGGCCAAACAGAGCACAAAGTCAACACAGAACTTCAGAGTTTAAACTGATCAGAATGAACAAAGTTGCTTCCTGCAAAGGCTTATGTCCCTTTGCTCCTCCTTTATGTCTTATGGGAGGGGACAATCATGCCCAAGCCTTATCCCAAGTCGCCCCTTTTGTCTTAATTGTTCTTGCCTTCTAGCAGCTCTGAGCAAGCGCACACTGGGAACAGGCTCCCCCTGTTCCACTGCCTCACTGATGTCAAATTCTAGAGTCTCCAGAGTCAGCACATTACTCTCAGAAGTCCCTGGCCCCATCTCTGTGTTGGATGCAGATCCCTCGTCCGAGTCTTCCCCAGACTCCATAACTGGACCATGTTCCTCCCCACTGTCCAACTCTGCTGCCAGATCGCAAGCCTCCAGCAGACCACAATATAAAGTTAGGAGGAAGTGTGACTGTGCACAGTGTTCATAAAAGCACAATCTTTCCTTTAGTTTTATTTTAACTTAATATCATTTTTGTTAGGAATTATGTCTACAGTTCCTCCTTGCAACAGGGAAAAGAACTGCATTTTAATTACTGTAGCTGTATTATCTGTGAAAATATATATATCTTTAAAATACAAAGGACAGGTCACCTCACATGAAATAGATGCCACTGCAACCAACTTTATATTGAAAGTAAGAAGCTGTGCCTCCTAAAACAATATTTCATTTGGTTAAGTTATTCTTCTTGGCTAACTGAATACCTTTTGTTCCTTTGTATAATAAACTTACTATAAATCAAGTTTGTCCAAAGGCTGAGGAAAAATATACGTTCAATTCACAGGTTTACAGGGGAAAACAGAAGATAAGCTACCAACCCTCCCTCCCCAAAGCCTCATAATTCTCCTCTATTATCAAGGTAGCCACAAAACTTTCTGTGATATCAAAAACCAAAAGAGGAACAACCCGCCAATTACAAGCCCAACAAACAACCCAACTGCCACAGCCAACTTGCTATGGGATAACTTGCTGTGGTCAAAAATTACATACATTACAAAAATTTCAATACAAGAAATGGTGAAATAAAACCTTTAAAGAAAGGATGCAAAAGGAGGGACACAATGAAATATGAATGACAAAAAAATAAAATATTTTTTAATTATTTTAAATAATGAAATAAAATTGTTGAATTATCCTGCCATGAGTTTTCCCATGGCGAATTGGCCGCAGCGAATTGTCCCATGATGAGTTGCCCGTGGCAAACTGGCCAGAGCAAATTGGCCATGCCAAATTGGCAGCAGTAAGTTGGCCACAAGTTGGTCATGGTAAGTTGTCCCATTCTGATCCAAAAAGGCAAGTAGATATATACCAGTAGCTCAAGGAATAGAATAGAATGGAATAGAAAAGAATTCTTTATTGGCCAAGTGTGGTTGGACACACAAGGAATTTGTCTTGGTGCAAATACTCTCAATATACATAAAAGAAAAGATACATTTGTCAAGAGTCAAGAATCATAAGGTACAATACTTAATGATAGTCATAGAGTGCAGTAAGCAATCAAATCATACTAGGAAACAGTCAACATAAATCATAAGGATACAAGCGACAAAGTTACAGTCATATAGTCACAAGTGGGAGGAGATGGGTGATAAGGAGTGGTGAGAAGATTAACAGTAATAGTAGTACAGACTTTGTAATAGTTGATCAGTGTTGAGGGAATTATTTGTTTAGCAGAGTGATGGCTTTCAGGAAAAAACTGTTCTTGTGTCTAGTTGTTCTGGTGTGCAGTGCTCCATAGCGTTGTTTTGAGGGAAGGAGTTGAAACAGTTTGTGTCCGGGATGTGAGGGGTCTGTAAATATTTTCACAGCCCTCTTTTTGATTCATGCAATATACAGGTCCTCAATTGAAGGCAAGTTATTAGTAATTAATTTTTTCCTTACCATAATAAAATCAACATTATTGGCTCCAGAAAACTGCATGGCAGACAAAGCATCCCTGAATCACCTATGCCGGAGTGCCAGCAATTCTACCAAGTAATGTTGTTTGTCTATATTTGGACGCATGTGGAAATGTGGCAAATGTTTTCAATGTAGACATTACTCCCTTCTTATTAGCATTATGAGTGTGGAGTCCTTGGTGCTCTCTGAGCTTGATTGTTTTCTTGCAGATGTTTCATTATCTAACTAAGAAATGAAACTTCTGCAAGAAGACAACCAAAGTTAGAGAGTACCAAGGAGTCCACAGTTCAACCCTGAGCTTCAAATATTCTATTAGCACTTTGATTGCATCAAAATGCAAACAGCCTGACTGAGGCTCTGTTCATGCATATGTTGTGCACATGCATGGGTTGTATGTCAGTATTTTGTCAGGTAATTGTTTAACAGAGATCGTAAGTTTTGTGGTGCTTGTCCATCCATTTACTTTAGAGGACTACGTAAGTGGATTTGAGCAACTGACAGGAGTTGGGGAGGTGTGTCATGTCTTTCCAGCTTTTGTTAGTGCCTCCAGTCAATGGACGGACTTGTGTGCACTAGACTAAAACAAGACCAAAACCATGTCAGAAGATATCACAATGAAAAATAAATAAATTTTAGCAAAGGGAGTAATAACAATAAATGAAAAGATTAATACAGGTACTCCTCAACTTACCATAGTTCACCTAGTGACCATTAAAAATAAAAAAGACTTATGATCGTTCCAGTTTTCCCATGGTCACATGATTCAAAAAAAGGCTTTAAGAGTTGTAAATGTAATCTTATGAAGCTTCTCCTCTGGTAATACTGATTTGCAAACTAGGGCATTCAAAACCTTTGCTAGACCAATACTTGAATTCTAGCTCTGTTGTCTGGAATCCGCACTGTATATCGGACATAAATACAACTGAGTGAGTCCAGAAGTATTTTACCAGAAGAATACTACATTCCTCTGTTTGCAACAGAATACCCTACAGCACCAGACTTGAGATTCTAGGCTTAGACAGCCTTGAACTAAGCTAAGACTGGACTTAAGCATAGTACATAAAATCTTACGTTACAACTTCTTACCAGTTAATGAATATTTCAGCTTTAACCACAACACAAGAGCACACAACAGATATAAACTTAATGTAAACCACTCCAAACTTGATTGCAGGAAGTATGATTTCAGCAACAGAGTAGTCAATGTCTGGAACTCACAACCTGATTCTGTTGTCACCTGCACAAACCCCATTCCTTTACCCTCAAACTAACCTTTATTGACCTCGTCTCATTCCTTAGAGGTCTGTAAGGGGCGTGCATAAATGCACAATCATGCCTATCATCCTGTCCTATTGTCCCCAATTATTAGTTCCTATTTCTTATATTTTAACTTATGTTTATTCTTATTTCTATTATATTGAAAGCATTTGACTAAATAAATAAAATAAATAAATAAAATAAAATAAATAAATAAATTGTAAATGGGGAAACCAGATTCACTTAACAACCAGGTTACTAATTTAACAACTGCAGTGATTCAGTTTAAAAATGTGGCAAGAAAAGTCATAAAATGGGGCAAAACTCAATTAATAAATTTCTCACTTAGCAACTTAAATTTTGGGCTCAATTTTGGTTGCAACTTGAGGACTACCTATAGTAAAATTAGCACCAAAACAATAAAAGTCCAAAAACATTACTGTAGTTTTTAAAGTGCTGAGAAAACTAAAGGGCCAAAAGAGAAGTTAGCATAGGTGCCAGGTAAGTTTTTCTATAGAGGATATTTCATAAATATAGTATCCCCATAAAAAAAATAAATTTGTCAATAAGTTTAGCTTTCCATAATTCTTTTATCATTCACTAAAGAAACGTTGCTGTGTGAAAGAGTGTGGAAGGATGCTCTGGCCAAATCTAACAAGCAAGCATTTTGTCTTATACTTCAGTTCCAAAACTAATTATTGCTGTGTAGTCTATGTACACATTGCTAACATATTGTGAACCTTCTACCAGCAGAATTACAATTTGTATCTCAACACAGATATGGGCACAGATAGAATATAGTACAACTTACCCAGAATTGCAACAACTTCATCATCTTGGATCACCTCCAAGGATCCTGAAACCACAAAGCACAGATTGTCCACGCTCTCACCCGCATGGTAAATGAGATCTCCTGGAGCACAATGCACAGTCTGAAATTCCATTGCAAGAGCTCGCAGGCACCCATCACTAGCCAGTCTGAATGCTGGGTGCTCTTTAAAAACTTTTCGGTTCAGATGTACACAGATATCTGCTCTCATGTCCTTAGGACAGATCTGTAAAACCTAGGACAACAGGACCAAAAATAAGTGTGTACAAGCCTCAAAGAACCTGTTAAACTCTCTATGAGATTTATCTTTATATTAATTAATCCTTAGTGTATTTGCCAACAAATTTATTCTTTCTTTTTTACAATCAGTTAGTTCTAGCTAGAACTGGAAGCTTGTTCTCTTCTGTTGATTACTGTAAATGTTAAACAAAGGATTGTCAAAGGATTTAGAGGCAAATTAAAGAAACAAAGCCTGTTTGATTTGGGTTTTCCCACATTTTGCTTAACAATAAATTAAAGTAACTTCAGAATATTATAGTTTTACAAGGCCAGAAAGAAAACAGCGATTTAAGTCAAACTTATTTTCAGATTAACTATAAAAATAGAATGAATTAATAAAATATTTACTTGTTATAAATACAAATAAGTATAATAAAACAGCACTAAAACTCTTAATCTGTTTCATTTGACCAATAAGCTTGTTGCTATATAACTGATCATCACAGTCTCTTCCAACTGATATTTTGAACCTGTTAACTATTATATTTCAAAAATTAATTCATAACCATAAAAAGGTCAGACTTAATCTTTCTCTTTATTAGCTTTAGTTTACATTCTTAAGTGCAGTAGATAAAATAAAATCTTGGGGTTTAGAGATTCAAGGGATATATGAAATTTGAACAGATTTGCCCAGATAAGTATGCAACATAACCACTAGCACTAACTGCAGAGTACAATGCACACTTGTTATTCATTTTGTAACATTTTTCAATTTTTGTATTGTATGTTTTGAGAAGCTGGCTCAAGAATTTGAAGATCTGTATTTAACAACCAATTGTTCTACTTATCAACAGTCCACAAGTCTTAAAGTTGCCAAGACTAGAGAACCCTGTTCTATAAGACAAGAAATCAGGGTGGTAGTAAAAATATAGCATATTAGTAAAGAGCAGTGAAAAGCTAAGTCATGCTAGATTTCTCAAGGGACCTCACCTTTTCAGTATCAATGCCCCTGGACATTGACCAGGTAGAAACAATGTAATCCATCACACGTTCACTCAAGCCTTTGGGCACTTGATAGAGCTTCAGGAAGTCCCGGACACTGTTTAACATTTCGTGATATCGATTTGTATTAGCATACATTTGCTGGAAGATAGTTGTCACATTCCCAAAAATGGTTGCATATAACAGAGCTGCAAATAGAAGAAGGTGGGGAAGGGAAAAGAAAATGAAGGTGGGCCTTCTCTGAAAGAGGCAGATGGCTTGCCAACTACAGTACTTCATTGCAGTATTTGTGGGAGAAAATAGCATCAGTTCCATTAGTTGCAGTAAAAAATTATCTTAATTGTTACAACCCTAAGCACTGATGCCATTTATTGCCTATTGGTATAAGCCTTTAGAGATGTCCTTTCAAAATTACATGTATTATATAAAAGAAGGATGCCTCGTCTTGATAAAAATTGTCTTGTTTCAATTAAGAGTGCCATTTTCAATTTGTTTTATGTTAAATGACTGACTGAGTAACTTCACAGCTGTGCAATTAGGGAAACATTTTCTAACCCTGGAGGCTGCTCATTCAATCCAGGCTTGATGTCACCTTAAATCACTTCCTCCCATTCACTAAACTATACACAGGCACAGGCTTCTTTCAATGCTGTAAATAATAATGCATATATTTATTAACCTTTGTAAGCTTGCCTTTCCCAAACAGAAGTTCATGGAGTCTTAGAAAAGTTTAAAATGTCTGGTACAAAAAATGGGCAGAAATTCAACAAAAGCCAACTCAACGAAAGCCTTTCAGTAGCTTGAGCATGAAAAGTCTCTGATTTTTTTCCCACTTGGAAGATCAGATTATTTTCAATAAAAGTCAAATAAATGTGCTTAGAGAGAGTGTTACAGTTGAGAAGCCACAACAGGAGAAGGTGGGACTCAGGAAGATGTCAGATCCAGAAACAAGTCTCCTTATATAACAACGTCTGATTCTTTCATTCAAGAGGTGGAATTCCATCTAAAAAGGAATCTCGGGAAGTATTGCTGTGGAAAATTCTGCCAAAGATTTTGAAATATTGCAGCCAGCTGTACAGTTCAAAGCTCACTTGAAACTGTTAAGCTAAGTCCAACCATTGGGGATTGGGGATGGGCAGGGACTGATAGGCAAACTTGAAATTCTGAAAGCAGGTCTTGAATGCTTTCACAAAATAATTGCCCAGAAGTCTGCCAATTTACAAAATGGCTATGATAAGAGAGGTAGTCATCACTTTGCTGAAAGATGAGAAGGTGGGGTTATTAGTTCATGCTTGTTAGTTCATGCTTGTTAGTTCATCCTTTTCAACCTATATTAGGAGACATTAGGACTTGAACCCCAATGGGTTTATTCCTGGATTGCATTATACTAGTGGTGGGATTCAATTCTTTTACTACCGGTTCTGTGGGCGTGGCTTGGTTGGCATGTCAGGGGAAGGATACTGTAAAAGCTCCAGTCAGAGGTGGCATTTGCCAGTTCTCCGAACTACTCAAAATTTCCACTACCGGTTCTCCAGAACTGGTCAGAACCTGCTGAATACCACCTCTGCATTATACCTACAAGTATATTTAGGGCCTGACCACTACAATTATTTGAGCCAAGCCAGCATTGGTGCTGTGTCTGTAGTTTTTTCCAAGGGAAGCTGAAGCCATTTTCTTTTTACTCAGGTGTGCTTTAACTCCATGTAGCATCTTCACTGAGAGGAGGCTGATTTTCCAATTGTGAGAACTATTGTCTCTCCCTATTCCCTACCACCTGAGCTTCCTGGTAGATTTCACAGGCAACTTTATTGGCAAATCACCTCTTAATCCCTCTAGTCAGTTTTACAATGCCTGTAAAATGTACTGTGCCATGACCATCTCTGTTTATGCACAGATCCAACTCTTGTATCAATCCAATCTCTGAATACAAGCCTTTAAACATGCTTTCTCCGCACAGAGAGATTCTGGAACCATAGTTAAAATGTTGGACAAAGTTCCTACTCAGAGTTGCAAATTTATGGTATCATTAACAGAAATTTATATGCAAGAAAAACCAGACAACCAGACAACTTTCCCCTCATATCAACCGCTCAGATATTTTGTGGATTGGCCAAAGACAAACAATATATGCTGAAAGCACAAGGGGGAGCCAATTATGTATTTTGTACCTTTCTGTAGGGAATTCAAGTGTCTGAATCCCACCTATAATTTTGTAGTCTCCTACTGGAGACCACACTGAGTGGTTCAGGGTTCTCAACGTTTAGCCCTTCAAATTCGGACAAGTCAGGAAACAGACTCCAGAGGACATGCTGAAGCTCTATTTTTTAATACAGGCTATAGTAACAGAATCCCAAAAGCCTAAAAGCCTCTCTTATATCAGAGAATCAATTTTCTGATGATGTTTCCTAGTTTGATAATGAAACATCTGCAAAAAAGCCACTAAGCTCAGAGAGCACCAGGGAGCCCACAGAATCAAGTTTTTTTATTTCTTTGCAACATTTGTTTCTTTTCCTGGGCTTGAATTCAGTTTTGCTAACTGTAAATTCCTTCTCCAAAGTCATCTTTGTAGTCCTCAACCCAGAATTCCTTTTTGGCAGGAAGAATGAAGTGGATTGCAAAGTTCACCTTGAAATGCTTACAAGGAGGTGGAGAGTGGAAATAGTTCCATGAGGAAATGCCCGTTGACCAAGTTCTTATGCCAATATTAGGCCATTTTTAAGTATCTCTAAGATGTTGTCATATGATGTGCATCAGCATTAATACAGAGATGGTTTATTATATAGCAGCTATGTAGACAATTTAAAGTACAGCAGTTGGCATCAAAATATCTTGAATCTTTCTTTTTGATACAGTTGAAAGGATCACAGGCAATAGATTCTTGAAAATAAGATTAATCCCTGAGATAAAAATAATCAAGAATGAATGACCAGCATTTAAATATTATCTCAACAGAAACAGATAGATCCAAATGGCCAATCATTCTAGAAATCTTGTTTTTTTAAACCAACAACATGTCTCCTCCCCATATAGAACTGTCCAATTCCTCTGAGACTAAGTAATGGTTATCTTAACTTTGGGACATCCTATGGAACTTCATTTAACACTAATCAGAAAGAAAAGGTTTTGTTTGTGAGGTTTCTCTACATAACAAGGTTCTCTCTTGAAATTAAGCATGTACCAACTTTATTATGGCTGAAGGTAAAAGAAGGCCTTGAATGCACTTAGCTCTTGGTGCAACATCCATGTATTCTTCTTGGCAAAGTGATCGAAGAGATTTTATTTTTATCCAGTGCTGTGGTGATGTTAATAATTTTACATCCCACTCTAGTCAATAGACCTAGGTGGTCCCCCATTCTATATTAAACAATGTCAACCCTGCTAAGTTTCAGCCAAAATCAGCCCACTACCAAGTTTTTTTAGATTTTAGGTACATGATCTCATCTCAGTGTTTCATACTTTTAGTTGTATTATTGGGACCAAGTGTGATTTTTGTACATTCAGCAGAGAAAACAGCAAACTGCTTATGGAAAAAGGATTAAGTTGGGACATTATTTGTACAGTGCTCTTTTCTCTGGAAGAGAATAGCATAATGCAGAGAAAAATTGCCATAAATTGTAAGGAAAAAAGGCCCAATGGCTGATAAAATGTTTAAAAATGTGACATTAGGTATATTATTACCACAATAAGCCGACTGCAGTCATCTTTGTATGAGTTGAGCGGCTGTATAAATTTGTCAAACAAACAAACAAACAAATAGTTCATGAATGCAGTTCATTTGAAGCCAGTTTGATTGTGAAGCAGTTAAAGTTCTGCACGTGTCTTAGTAACAGTATTGTAAATTATTTTTAAACCTAAAAGCCAACCATGCTTCTCCTGGAAGAGAATTTAATAGACAGGACAGCACTTCCCAATATAGCTTTCTTTGAGTCAGCATGCTACAAGCCAAAATCACAGAATAGTACCAACAGCAATGATTTTGTTTTTTATGTGCCCATAACCAAATGAGACCCATAAACAAGTCTTCCCCAATTTATCATAGTAAAGAATTTTAGGGAAGACAATCTTTCAACTATTTAATACATATATCGATTTATTAATACTTTTATTATTAAATTTATATACCACCCAACTCCCAGGGAATTTTTCTGGTTAGTGAAAGTTTCTTTTTTTAAAAAAGTATCTTTATTCAATTTCAAAAAGAAACATTAAAATACGAATTATCATGAAGGGAAAAAGGAAATAAAAGGATAAATTTAAAAGTGCCAAAAAATACATCAAACAAGTAGATGAACGTTTTCAATCTTTTTGACACATCTGAAATTTGAGAACATATTTGGCCAAACAATGACCAGACAGCAGCATTCAAATGCAACTCTTGGACCATTTTTAAAGGTAGAAGATGTAGCATGCAGTGTCAGTTCAGTAATCTAATTTTGAGGGCATGGATCTCTAAATTAGAGGATCCTGTCCCTGGATACTAAATAGATAGCAGTAGAGCAGAAATAATTGCATTATGACTTGGCAACAATAAGAAGGCATCATTAACTGAAAAGTGGTAGATAGTCTTGATTTAGGCTCAGCAGCCAATTATTTATACAGATATCAAAAAAATCATAGCAGAATTGAAGATAAAAGATAAAATAATTGATAGGTGCTGTACACATGCATTCACCTGATGGAGATTCAGAACAGGAAAACATAAAAGATGTGAATTTTAAGAAATGATTCTCAGGTAGAAACTACCTAAGAGAAAGCGAGAGAACTACCTAACAGCACCTCCTAACAACTACCTAAGAGAAAGCAAAATTGAGAAAGCCTGAATCAGGATCCTTTGGAAAGGATGAGAAAAGAGAGGCCAGTTCAATGTGATCTCAGTTTCAATCCAGATCTCAGTAAAGATACTGTCACTTTTTTAAAATATTTACTTTCTCAGGAAATGTTCAGAATAGAGGGAGGAATAACAATGTCTGAAATATTTATCAGAGTGGCCTGATAATGAAGCCACCACCATCTGAACAAGCAGGACACTGAGCAATCATTTATCTTAGGAATCTTTTTATGAACATTCGCTGTATGATACATCATCACAGCATTTTAGTACCTTTTCAAAGACCTCCACCGTGGCTGTTGCACCAAATATTAATTTGTGGTATATTTCTTGACTGCTTGTTTCTTAACTGTTGGTGGT